ACTTCTCCAGGCAAGAATACTGAAGTGGGTTGCTTTGCCCTTCTCCAGGGGATCTTCCTGACCCAGGGATCAAACCCAGATCTCCTGCATTGCAGACAGATTCTTTAGCTACCAGGGCCCAGGGGACCCCATTCAACAGAGAGGGAGCAACAGCAGGTGCTGGTGGGAGGGTGAAGTCAGGGGGCAAGAAGCCCTTGGGAAGGGGTTAGGGGGGTGTCTGCACTAGATGGGGAGCCAGGGAGCCAAGGCCAGGAGGAGCCTGCCTCCATCAGCCCATTTTACACCTGGAGAAACTGAGGCTGGGAGGAAGCAGGGCTGCAGCCTTGCCATCAGGGAGGGGGCTGGGCCGCACACTCAAGCTCTCCCTCCAGGACCTGAGCAGCTTGGAGGTCCACCCCGGACTCCTGTCATCCTCTCTCCTGTCCTCTATTTTCTGAATTTCCCATAAGGAAGCCTCTCAGCCGCTGGTGTTCTGCTGGGAGATGGAATGTCCAGATGGGCACAGAAAGCTGCAAGGTGATCTGGCTCCTTCTCTTCCCACCCACCCCTGGACAGTGCCCCACCCCGACTCCGCCCGACTGGGGCCGCTGGACTCCCCAGGCTGGGCCCTTCTCCCAGCTCCTACTTCCAGCCCGGTGGCCTTGGGGACCAGGGCCCCAGGATGAATTCCTAGGGCCTGATGGTGCAGCGTGGGCAGACCCTCTCCTGGGAGGTCACTGGTTCATGAATTGGAGGGATCCTCCCAGCAAGAGGTGAAACACGAGACCTGCGAGAAAAGCAGAGGGCAGCCTGTGAAACCCAAGGCCAGACAAAGGCGCCGAGCGGGAGGCCTGGGCTCAGGAATGGGCAAAGCTTGGGGGCTCCTGGAGTGTAGCCTGCTGGCCTGAGGGGAGGGGCCGGAGCCAGCCTCGGGTTTCCAGATCCCAGAAGCCCAACCTTGTGTGTGTAGGGGGTGGTCCCTGGGGACCAAATCTACCCTTCATAACACTCAGCAGAGAAAGGGGGCAGGGAGGAGGCATCAGACCCCACCCCTAGAGACTGCGGGCTATGGGGGCCACACCCCACAAGCTGGGACTGGGCAGGGCCACTGCGGCCCAGACTTCCCAGGGATCTCCCTCCTGACTCACTACCTTGCCTGGGGTCTAGCAGGAAATGTGGGCCTCGGGCTGCCCAAGCTGTGTGACCGTGGGCGACTCACTCACCCTCTCTGAGCCCGATGCCCTGTCTGCAAAGCCAGACTCCAGGAAGTAACGTGCACCAGGCGGGGGCTGCTCCCTAAGCAGTGGTCGTGTCCTTACCCTGGGGGGTCAGATGTTAGGAATCCGAGCTGCAGGCCCAGGTCAGGGGCCAGCTCCCGCCGCCCCCCTTGCAGAATTTCGCCCGCCCGGGGTGGGCAGCGGGGCGGGAGGGTGCATCCAGGAGCAAGTCGCATCCTTGAGGGTTTTTTACAGTCTGCTCTCTTGTCCTTCCCTTTTTGTGTCCAGCCCTTTCTTCTCCCGATGTTCTCTTCTGAGGCTCTCCGGCCTCCGAACTAGCTAAACCCTGGGGGAAGCAGCAGGGCCTGGAGCCTCGAGCGGACGTTCATCTTGTCTCCACACTTGGAGTGAGGGGTGAGGCCTTTGTCCCCTGGGCAGTGCCTGCCTTTGCTGCTGCTGCCCTCAGAAGTCTTCAGACGGGCCCCGTCCCCTGGCAAACCCTTTTTGCATAATCCATTGGAATCTCCCAGACAAAGGCCGCTTAGAAGTTAATTTGGGAAAGAGGTAGCCAGGGAAAGAAGGTTCCCGGTGAGAAGGGGGTCCTGAGGGAAGCTGTCCCGTGCAGAGATGCTCTCAGGTTATCTGAGACGTTGGTGTAGGCCGAGCAGGGACGGGTTTGGGCTTCGAAGCCCAAGTGTGCAGTGACTCCTCAGGGAGTGTGAGCTTGAGCCGCCCCAAGGCTGTCGGATGCTTCCCGGTGTGGGGTTACTTGGGCTTCCAGGAAGCCCCTTAACCAGGGGGTGGCTGGGGCTGCAGACCGGCTGGGCTGCCCAAGTCACCCAGTGACCGAGGAGCCTTGGAAGCCCCAGCCACCCTGTGCCACCGGCAGGTGACACGTGTCTTGCTTGGCCAGGTGAGTCTGCGTGTTGTATCACATCCTCATCTGCCATTCAGCAACCAGCTGCTAAATGACCAAAGTGAGCGGCACTAGAAACTGCGACCACATCCTTATGGGCTGACGTTCTAGTGGAGGAGACAGAAAACAAGACAGATACGCAAAGAAAGCCAAGTCCAGACAACAAGGCAAAGGAGGGTACTTTGGGATGAGTTGCATTGCCCCAAATTCATGTTGGAGTCCTACCCTCCGGTACCCCAAAATGTGACTGTATTTGGAGACACGGTCCCTACAGAGGTCATCAAGGGAGAGAGAGGTCACGGGTGGGTCCTCACCCCAGAGGATGGGTGGCCTCACAAGGAGAGGAGAACAGGACACACATATCCATTGAGGGACCACCAAGTGAGGACGCAGGGAGAAGACGGCCGTCCGTGACCCGAGGAGAGAGGCCCAGAACAGACCCCTCCCTCGAAACCGTCAGAAGCAACGAGCCTGCGGATAGCTCCATTTTGGGCCTGTGGCCCCAGAACCGTGAGACCGTCCATTTCTGTTATTTAAGCCATGCCATCTGTGCAGCAAGAGCAAGTGAATCCAGAAGGCAATAGAGAACGGAGGGGTGGGGATTTAATGGGTGGTCTGGGACAGCCTCTCTGAACAGAATTAAAAGTTAGGAGCCAGCCCTGGACAGCAGAGGGGCAGGGTGAGGTCCTGAGACTGGGAGAGCTTGGCCTGCCCTCCCAAACCGGCAGAAAGGCAGCGAGGATGCAGAGGAGATGGAGGTGCGGAGAGGCAGCCGGTGGGGGGGTCCGGGGGGTCTAGTGGGCTGTGGGAATTGGTCCCGGAGTGGCTGTCAGCGCCTCTTCTGGGCCCTCTTCTGCCAAGCAAAAACCCCACAAGCCTGGAGCCAGCCTGCAGCCAGAGCCGACGTGCCTCCTGAGCAGAGGCAGTGGGTCTCAGCAACGTTCTTCCAGCGGAGCTGCCCGCCTGCGGCTGTGGGGTTGAGCGCCATGGGAGCCTGTCTTTGGGTTCCGAGCTACGTAGGAACCCAGACCGCTCTCCCCACACCCCAGCCCCTGTCATCGCCCCCTCCCTCTGGTCTCTGGACTGTCTGTCTTGATCCTGTAGCCCCGGGCTTTAGCCCCTGGGTCCTCATGCCTCAAAAATGAATTTGATGTTAAGTCGCTCAGTTGTGTCTGACTCTCTGTGACCCCATGGACTGCAGCACGCCAGACCTCCCTGTCCATCACCAACTCCAGGAGTTTGCTCCAAACTTACGTCCATTGAGTCAGTGATGACATCCAACCATCTCATCCTCTGTCACCGCCTTCTCCTCCCATCTTCAATCTTTCCTGGCATCGGGGTCTTTCCCAATGAGTTGGCTCTTCACATCAGCTGGCCACAGGAGTGGAGTTTTAGTTTCAGCATCAGTCTAAACATGATATTATTGTTTATTTGCTATCTTCCTTTCTGCAGGGTGGTGATTCTCCCAGCTCAGCTCCTGCTGGGGTCCCCCTGGCAGCTACGCTGGGCTGAACAGATGTGCTCCTAGAACAGCTGAAGTCGGGGGTCCAACACCCTCCCAGCCCAGCTCTCCACACCGGGTCATGCGCCCCACACATCCAGGGCTGCAGGCGCTTCCTCCAGACTCAGCTGCCCAGGGCCTGGCCCAGGGGTCCCCCTGCACCCTGACCCTCACTTCTCAGGGGCCTTGGCTCCCAAGGTGGAGCTCAAAGGGTGGCACCCAGGCCGGCAGACTCTGGAGACTGAGCCCATCCCTTCTGGGTCCAGCTGCCAGTCTCCCAGGGGACAGTGTCGCCAAGCCAAGGCATGGTCCCCGGGCTGGTTTTCACAGCCAAGAGGGGCCGACAGGTATGGACAAGTGGCCGGCCAGGCCTCCCTGCCCGGCATCCCAGGAATGTGATAGGCCACCCATGCCACTGGCCCCCACACAGCCCAGCCCGGCTTCTTGTGTCTGCCCAGCCCTCCTGCCCTTCCCTCCAGCCCCTCAGCCAGTTCCCAGGGCCACGTTTCACTGCTAATTGACCAAGGGATGAATAAAGTCCAGGACCTGGCTGCAGACGCCGAGCTTCCCAGGGTTCCGTGCAAAGGGCCTGGAGGCTGCGGTTCTGCGCTCAGAGGAGAGACAGAGATAGGAGGAGAGACAGGGAGAGAGACACAGAGAGACAGAGAGACAGAGACGGGAGACAGGAGGGTTCTCCGGCCCAAACGCTGCTCCAGTTTCAAGGTTGGAGGGTCCCCTGGAGAGGGAAGGGGTCCAGGTTCAGATACATCAGTTCCTTTGGTGACTAATCCCTAAAGCAGGGGGTAGCTCTGGATGTCAGGGAGTCCATCAAATAAAGCCGAGTACTCGGCCGGGGGGTTCCAGCCCCCTACATCACATCTGACTTTGTGGCCCTTCCACCAGGCTCAGGGTCTGATCACTGTGGGGGCTCCAGACAGACTGGGCTTGGATCAATGGATACACTCCTCACTACCTCTTCCATCAACCCTGCAAAGAAGGCAGATGGCCCCATTTCAGAGGAGGAAACTGAGTCAAGGAGAGATTAAAGGTCTAAGGTAAGGCCATATGGCAGGGGTGGAGCCAGCCTCCTTCCACTGTGCACCCCAGCACTTAAAGGAAACTGAATACAAAAATGTGATCCCCGCTGTCTCTGGGTGGGCATGGAGTCGGGGTCAGCCCTGGCCATACCAGACCCTGCTAGGGACCCTGGTGGCTCAGGTGCAGGCGGGTGGGGAAACCTCAGCCTTTCCAGAATTGAGGTGGTGCTGAAGGCTCTTCTTGTTCCCTGAGGAGCCAGAAACTAGCTCCAGGACCTAGGCGAGACCTGGGCAGGGACTGGGTGGTGGGGCACCCCTGCCCACAGCCCTGACAGCCTCTGTTTTCCTAGGTACGGAGGGGGTGAGTACTGGGGACTTGAAAAGGTGTCCTCAGAACAGGCCAGCTTAGGGGAGGTCCTGGCAGCTGAGCAAGGCCACGCCTGGAGGTAAAGGCCAGTGTGCAAATGAAGCCAGCCCCTGGGTCCACCACCGGCACCCAGACAAACCAGGCACTGGTTTCTTTAGGAATGCAGCAATGCAGACAAACTGAATTTCATGCTGCATTCTCCATGGACATCGTAAGCTGCCCCTTGGGTCTTCCCAGGGACCACCCCAGGGCTCAGCTCCCTCCTCCCCCCCCTGCATGTCATGTGTCTCCACCCACTCCCAGGACAGGTCCTGTGTTGGTGAGGTGGCCCATTTGCTCCTGGCAACTTTTTCCTGCAGAGAACACGCTCATTGCCCCTGGAACCTCTGCTGGCCACCGTATCTGCTGTCCAGCCTCTGGGGCACCCAGCCCTCTGCCTCCCACACCTCTCACATCCCCCCACCAGACCCCCCACCTTTCCCCCAGATGCCTCCAGCCAGCTAAGGCCCAACATTTCTGAGACCTGAGGCTCCTCCTACCTGGATTCCTCTTCCGCTCAGCAGTGATTCCCTTCAAGACCCAGGTGGGCATCACCTCCTCCAGGAAGCCTTCCAGTTGTCCCCCAGCAGTGGCTCCTGCCTCTCTCCTCCACCTTAGGGTCCTAAGTGATCTCCCTCTCCAAAAGATACGTCCACCCAGGACCTGTGAATGTGACACTACTTGGAAGAGTCTTTGCAGACATAATTACGGTAAGGATCGCAAGATGAGATCATCCTGGGTTGGGGGGTGGGGCCTAAATGCAAGGACAAGTGTCCTTAGAAGGAAAGGGGAGCACACGGAGAAACACGCAGAGGAGAAGGCCATGTGAAGGTGAAAGCAGAAATCGGAGCGATGCCGCTGCAAGCCAAGTACTGCTGGCAACACCAGAAGCCAGGGAGAGGCCCGGGACGCTTTCTTCCTCACAGCCCTCAGATGGAACAACCTTGCCGACCCTTTGATCTTAGACTTCGCATCTCCATAACTGAGATGGTGAATTTCTGTTGTGTGAAACCACCGAGCGCGTGGCAGTTCATCACAGCAGCCCCAGGACTCGGATACAGGCTCTTCGTCCGCACTTTCCCCCTCCCCATCAGCTGAGATCTCGTCTCCCTCTCCCCCCAGATTGCCAGCTCTTCACTGCTGCACATTGCCAGCATGGATGTTGCTTGATTCACAGCAATAATACCTCAGTAAACAAAAGTGAAAGGAGTTCAAGGGTGAAAGGCCAGGTTTTTCTGGAAAACCCTAGCCTTGCCAGGTGGCTCCATCATGCCCACGGTTGACATACACTTAACCTCTTTCTTCCTCTCTGCCATCCTGTACCCTGCCTGGGAAGAGCCGACTCACTGGAAAAGACCCTGGTGCTGGGAAAGTTTGAAGGCAGAAGGAGAAGAGGGTGACAGAGGAAGAGATGGTAGGATGGCATCACTGATTCAATGGACATGAACTTGGGCAAACTCCAGGAGACTACCAGGAGTAGGGAGGCCTGGCATGCTGCAGTCCATGGGGCCACAGAGAGTCACACACGACTTAGCGACTGAACACCACCACCACCACCACGTCTGGGAACATCAGATCGTCTGGAGAAGGAGGGAGAAGTCGGCCAGATTCCCATGGGCAGACAGGCCTGCAGGGTTATTCGTCCATCCAGAGGGGCTCGGCACTGTGCCTTCTGGGACGTGCCTCGGCTCCTCACCTGTCCCCTCCTTCCTGCATCTGTGAGAGTCTCACTCATTTAATGCAGGGATGGTCATCACCTGACCGCTGTCTGCTGCTTTGTGGTCTGTTAGAGGTTGGGAGCATCTTACATACACAATCTGGTCCCAGCTTCCAGGGACAACCCGCCCCCCCCCAAGCCTGGGAGACAAGAACAGCAGAGCCAAGGTCCCCACTGGGGTCCTCATTTTGCCGTTCCTACTGCCTGGACGGCTTTTTCTCTTCCCAATCAGATGCCTGAGTCCTACCTGTTTTCAAGATTCAGATGCTCCATAGTTTCTTTGCAGATCAGATCCAAGGCTCTTCTACCCATCCCACCCACCTCTTCAGGGGAATGTGGGAGAGGGCAGTGGCAGAGTCTGATATTTTCTGCCGAGTGCATCCTTGGCACTCACTGGATTCTCTCAAGGTTCTCTAACATGCTTAATAAGGTCTTAAGCCTCACCTCTCACCAATCTGCCCAAGCCTTCTTTTAGCCGGAAGGCCACTCTCCCTAAAGGTCCCTCTCCATGGGCAAAGCTGAAGGGGAGCTGGGCTTCTTAGTAGAACACTGACTTCCTGTCCTGCAGGCTACAGGTCTAACATTTTGACCACCTGATATGAAGAGTCAACGCATTGGAAAAGACCCTGATGCTGGGAAAGTTTGAAGTCAGAAGGAGAAGGGGGCAGCAGAGGATGAGATGGTTAGATAGCATCACTGACTCAATGGACATGAACTTGGGCAAACTCCGGGAGACAGTGAGGGATAGGAAGGCCTGGCATGCTGCAGTCAACTGGGTCAAAAAGAGTTGGACACGACTTAGTGACTGAACACAAAATAAACATTTTTTAGCACCGATGCTGGTTTTTGTTTATAAAAACAAAAACTAACTTTTTAGCCTAGGCACTGGCATTTGGTGATTCAACACCCGTCTCACACTGGGAACAAGAGAGCCAGCCACAGGCCAGGTGAAACCTGGTGATCCCACGCCTGCTTCTCCCACACAGACTGCAGGCTCACCTCCACAGGCCACCTACTGCACCCTCAGCAAGCCTCTGGAGGACAGCACGTGGTGGGGCAGTGAGTCCTGGCCGGGTCAACACCAAGTGCTCCGCTTTCAAGCCAGCTTCCTGCTGTGACGTACCATGGCTCACTTCTCCCTGGGTCTCTCACCCACCTGAGTTCCAACCACTCCCAGGGTTGTATACTCAACCTTCCACCAGTAGGGAGTTCATCCATCCTTGTAGGCATAATGAAACCAGCAAGCTCAGGGCCGGGGCCCAGATGCGTAAAGTAATGTGCCCGTCAAGGGGCAGGTTAGGCCACTGCAATGAGACTCCAAAACAGAGCAGCTTAAATCGGGCCATAGATTCTTCTTTCTCATCGGAGCCCAAGTAGGCAACCCAGGAGCAGTCTGGAAGGGTGATGGGACAGGGCGCCCCTGGGTCCATGGGGCTTGAACTGACTTGTGTTTCATCTCATCCGAGCCTGTGGATAAGGCAGAAGGAGGGGAAGGCTCATTGTCTTTTTATTTTGTGTGTGTGTGTATAAAATTTTATCTTATTTATTAAACTGGAGGATAATTGCTTTATAACGTGGTATTGGTTTCTACCATACATCATCACCAATCAGTCATAACTCATGCCCTCCGTCTTGAGCCTCCTTCCTACCCCCTCCAATCCCATCCCTCTAGGTCATCACAGAGCGCCAGCCTGGGCTTTCTCTGTGCTACGCATCAGCTTTCCTCGAGCTATCTGTTTCACACATGGTAATGCACATACAGGCTTCTCTGGTGGCTCAGCGGTAAAGAATCCGCCTGCAATGCAGGAGACGCAGGAGACGTGGGTTTGATCCCTGGGTCAGGAAGATCCCTTGGAGGAGGAAATGGCAATCCACTCCAGTATTCTTGCCGGGAAAATCCCATGGACAGAGGAGCCTGGCAGTCAGAGGAGTCCATGGGTTCACAAAGAGTTGGACACCACCCAGCGACTAAGCACAGAGTGTATATCTCAATGCTACTCTCCCAATTCGTCCCAGTTTCTCCTGCCCCCACTGTGTGCACAAGTCCATTCTCCACATCATGTCTCCATTCCTTCCCTACAAATTGGTTCCTCTGTACCATTTTTTCTAGATTCCATGTATATATGTTAATACACGATATTTGTTTCCCTCTTTCTCACTTCACTCTGTGTAACAGGCTCTAGGGTCATCTGCCTCCCTACAACTGACTGAAATTCGTTCCTTTTTATGGCTGAGTAGCATGCCATTGTGTAGATGGACCACACCCTTTCTATTATATATGTATTTTTAAAGATCTATTTATTTGGTTTCACCAGGCCGTAGAGGCAGCATGTGAGACCTCCAATCTTCACTGCAGCATGTGAGATCTCTAGTCCTGGTATGTGGGATCTAGTTCCCTGACCAAGGATCGAACCCAGGCCCCCTGCATTGGGAGTGTGGAGGCTGAGCCACTGGTCCCCCAGGGAACTCCTGAAAGCTCGCTGTCCTCCTTTCAGAGGTGGGGCTCGGCCGCCGCAACATCGCCTCTGCTCCCAGTGCTGTCTCACTGCACAGTGAACGTCCACACATCGCGTGTGTCACACGCATGCCTGACTCATGGCTCTCAACTGGCCACAGCCCGCCGCCCAGGGCACACACATTGAGACCCTGCCACCCGGTCATCAGACGGCCTCAAACTTCTCCTCAGAGACAAAAACAGCAGCTCTCCACGTGTGGGCTCAGGAGGTCTGAGGGGTCAAAATTACTTTCATGATAACACTGAGATCTCATTTGCCTTTTCCCTTCTCATTATTTCATGAGGATACAGTGGAGTTTTCCAGAGACTACAAGAAATGAGACGACATTATCACTTCTGCTAGCTAACAGGATATATGCTTCTATATTCTTGTATTTTAAATGTTTTCTCCACTGAAGATTCTTTAAAGTCCCTTGGACTGCAAGGAGATCAAACCAGTCAGTCCTAAAGGAAATCAATTGTGAATATTCATTGGAAGGACTGATGCTGAAGCTGAAGCTCCAATACTTTGGTCACCTAATGCAAAAAGCCAACTCCTGATGCTGGGAAAGATTGAAGGGAGGAGGAGAAGTGAGCGACAGAGGATAAGAGCATTAGAAAGCATCACTGACTCAATGGACATGAATTTGAGCAAACTCTGGAAGATAGTGAAGGAGAGAGGAGCCTGGTGTGCTGCAGTCCGTGGGGTTGCAAAGAGTCAGACATGACTTAGCAACTGAACAACAACAGCAAGAAATATCAATAGATGAAACACACATCAACAAAATTTTTTGAAATATTCAATAATTTTTAGAGTGCAAATGGACTC